GTCCTCCCACTGCTTCTGAAGAGATGTCATCCTGCACTTTGCACAGATGTATCATGAATCAAAGGTTAGGTTAGAATTAGGTTGTCCTGGGCCGGTCTGTGGCTCACTCGAGAGAGTGCGGTGCTGATAACACTAAGGCCACGGGTTCGGATCCCATATAGGGATGGCCGGTTAGTTCACTGGGTGAGCGTGGTGCTGACAATACCAAGTCAAGTGTTAAGATCCCCATACCGGTCATCTTTAAAAAAAAAAAAAGAAATTAGGTTGTCCTACGTAGCCCACACAGTTACAGTGGTGCACTTGCAAACACACACAGAAGCCCTGAAATGTTAAGCAAGAGTCAGCCAGTGATCTGTGTTACATGTTCATTTTTTCTTTTCTTTTTTTTTCATTTTAAAAGATGACCGGTATGGGGATCTTATCCCTTGACTTGGTGTTGTCAGCAGCACGCTCTCCCAGGTTAGCTAATCGGCCATCCTTATATAGGGATCCGAACCCGTGGCCTTGGTGTTATCAGCACCACACTCTCCCAAGTGAGCCACAGGCCGGCTCTTACATGTTCATTTCTACAAAGGTGATCATCACAACGAAAACACAGGAATAAAAAGGCCTCTGAGGAGATGCCTGTGCACTCTGGTCCTGGGACCCACTTCAAGTCTGAGACACCCTGGTGGACCTGGTGGTAGCAAACTCCTCAGCACTTAGATGGAGGCACATTCAGCTTAGTCCCCAAACTAGACGATCACCCTGCCCATATTTTTTCCTTCTTGTTCTCAAGAATATTATGAAAGTTTCAGTCAGATACCTGTTGAAATAACATGCATGGTTGTACCATTCTCCTGAGGTGTCCATCCAAAACACTATAAAAGTGAAACACTTGTTCAGCATGACTTGTTTCTTGTGACTCCGTGCTTATTCAGGAGGATCTGTGATCTCTCCTTCCTTCCTTCAGTAACTGTAGTGCTGTTCAATCATTTGTTCTAGGATTTTGTCAGGGATCAATGTCCGTAATATTTCAGGATCTGCATCTACAGTTTTACCCAGAGCTGCCTTCTGGCTCTCCTCACATGATTTGCAAGTGTGTCTGCAAAGTTTCCCTTGCTCTGTGGAGTGCAGTTTGGACTAGGACCTGGTAAACATTTAAGGCACTTCCTGCCAGCCCATCACCTGTCCTGGGCTTCAGTTCCCCCTTTACCTTTTCCCAGTTAAGAATCATTCTCCCAAAGAGAGAAGCCAGAGGCCAGCCAAAATGGTTCTGCTTTCTCCCCAACCTCTATTTTCTTTTCACCAAATGCCCAACAGGGGCTCCAGTTCCTGAGACTTTTTGTCTTTTTGAGTCTCCAAAGTAACACCTCTTTTATTTCTGTCCCTCCTGAAATGTACTTTTCAAAAGTCTAGGATACAAGCCTCATTCTGCCCAATGATCTTTTCCTTAGTGATTTATGAACTCTAAAGTGGCACAGACCTGTTTCCTTATNCATTACTTCCTCAAACTTCTTTATTTTCCTTTATTTAAAAAAGATATAATAGGGGCCGGCCCGGTGGCGCACTGCTACGGTGCACTGCTTGGGAGTGCGGTGGCACTCCCGCCGAGGGTTTGGATCCCACATACAGACCGGTTCCCGCTCACTGGCTGAGCGAGGTGTGGCCGCAACACCGAGGGTTGCAATCCCGTTGCCGGTCCCGGTCCGGGCGCGACACTGAGAGTTGTGATCCGTTGCCGGACACGAAAAAAGACAAAAAGGAAAAAAAAAAAAAAGATATAATAAAATATATTCGTTGTAGGAAAAAATAGAAAAACAAGGAGAAGAATTCTTTAAATCAGGCAAAATTCTATCACCAAGAAATACTGGCTTTTATCATTTCAGCTTTTTTTTTTCACTTTTACTATTTGGCTGTATTCATATGTAGAAATATATACACATTTAATGAAAAATAGAATTTACCCTATTTTCATTCTTCTTGTTATATTCAGTCATTAGCTCTCCCCAGTCTTGGTGATACCTCTGGGGCCATACCTATGGTCCTGTGTGAAAGTGTAAATTCACTTAAAGAAATTACCAGTATAGGGCTGGCCAGTTAGCTCAGTTGGTTAGAGTGTGGTGATGATAACACCAAGGTCCAGGGTTTAATGCCCCTGTACTGGCCAGTTGCTAAAAGGAAAAGAAGAAAGAAATTATCCATATGCTATATATCGACATGTGGGGCCATTGCGTCTTTGTGGGTAAGGCTGAGCATAAAACACCCAAGGCTGGAATGCAGCAGGTGTATCTTCCTTGCCAGGAACCCTGGCCAAGTGACGCTTCTCTCCCAAGCTGGTTTGGCATCTGGCTACAGCAGGAGTGAGAAGGTAGCTTCAGTTAGAGCTAGAGGAATAACTGAGAGGCTCCCCCTGCCCAACGTAGAGAGGTTCCAGTCTAGACAGGGAGAGTCAGCAGTGCCCAGCCTAGAGGGCTGCACAGGTGGCACAGCTTAGATCCTGAGGCAGTCTTGGTACAGTCTTGGTATCTTTGTGTTATCCCAGACTTTATGGTAGCTGGAGGCAGGACCCGCTGTCCTCACAGCCTCGACAGCTGGGTCTGAGGAGAGGAGGAGGTCGTCTACTGAAACAGATGTAGGGCAGCTAACCTCAAGTGGGGAAGTGTGGGGAAGGTGGTTAACCTCTCTCAGGGAAGCAGCAACAAATAGAGGCACAAAGAAAATCCGAGGCAAGTGGGCTTGGGTGCTTTTTGGGCCTCTTGTGCATTACTGTGTCTCTTCTCTTCCAGCAGATCCACAGACCAGCATGGCTGCCACTGCTGCCGTCAGTCCCAGTGACTACCTGCAGCCCGTGGCCTCCACCACCCAGGCGAGTGGGCTCTGAGGGCTGGGGGCTGTGTCAGCCTTGTGGACCCACTGAAGCTGATGTTGAACCACACNGCTGTCCTCACAGCCTCGACAGCTGGGTCTGAGGAGAGGAGGAGGTCGTCTACTGAAACAGATGTAGGGCAGCTAACCTCAAGTGGGGAAGTGTGGGGAAGGTGGTTAACCTCTCTCAGGGAAGCAGCAACAAATAGAGGCACAAAGAAAATCCGAGGCAAGTGGGCTTGGGTGCTTTTTGGGCCTCTTGTGCATTACTGTGTCTCTTCTCTTCCAGCAGATCCACAGACCAGCATGGCTGCCACTGCTGCCGTCAGTCCCAGTGACTACCTGCAGCCCGTGGCCTCCACCACCCAGGCGAGTGGGCTCTGAGGGCTGGGGGCTGTGTCAGCCTTGTGGACCCACTGAAGCTGATGTTGAACCACACTGAAAACTCTCTCTCATCACCGTCTCACTGTAGATGCCCTAGGATGAGACCAGAGACGGCTCAGTTATCCACATTCTGTGAACTAAGAAACCATGACCATTTACCTAAGCCACCACAGCTGGGTCAGGGGGGAAACCAGGCTTAAACTTAACATTCCTTCCAGCAGACCCCACCACCCATAAAAGGAAAACAGAGGCTCTTTCATTGCGGCCTTGAAAAAGCAGCCCTCCCCAATCTATAAAGTCATATGTACCAAGCACAAGGAAACACTTTAGCAAAGTGTTTATTCCTCCTATTGCCCCTCCCTTTCTTTTTCCCTCTGTCCCTTCCTCAGTCCTTCCTCTTTTGAGCAACCGGTCTGTGGTGGGCTAATGGAACTTCCTCTAAGACCAGAGGATGTTTCACTATCAGTTAGAAACAAGGCCAGAGGGGAGTAGGAGGTCGGCTCAGGCTATCCGTTCTCCCTGTCCATTGGGCCTTTCTGGGGAATTTCTTCCTGAGAAGGACATTTCCCACCTTTTCTCCCTTACTTACTTAACAGACAAACCAGCAGGGAAGGGGAGACAGGAGCCACTGTAGAGGGAAGGTGCTGGCACACGCCTGCCACAGGGGTGGGAAGAGCCACTGGAAGGTTGCCAGGAGGAGAGGATCACAAAAGGCAGTGGGCCTTCATGTCTAACTCCTTTTCTCTGTTGATTTTTTGCAGGACTCCCAGCCATCTCCCTTAGCCCTGCTTGCTGCAACATGTAGAAAAATTGGTCCCCCAGCTGTTGAAGCTGCTGTGACACCTCCTGCTCCCCCCCAGCCCACACCACGGAAACTGGTCCCTATCAAACCTGCCCCTCTCCCTCTCAGTCCCAGCA